CGACCGAAACGTCGGCACCTTCGCCATGGACGCGGCGTCACCCGGACAGCCTAGTAAATACTAATATTGTTACATCCCATCCAACAGTGACACTTTCTACGTTCCATGTGTACGTTTTATCATCTGATGTATCCCTTACAAGAAGCATAATTTAAAAATTGTGGCTGCAAAATTTGTGCAAAGATGAAATTAAATTTTTTTTATCTTTTGGCACTTCAAAATTCTTCATCGGAGTATTTCGCTGGTTATTGAAAAACGATGTTGGCACGCCTGTTGGGCGGCAGAAATGTCTGTCAAACGTTGATATATTATAAGTTGCAAAAGTTCAACGCTTTATGAACTCAACACTCTCCTTAATGACGAACAATACAGATTACGTAAGTACTTGTATGAGTACCTATCGAAGTAAATTCGACCACAAGGTCAGGAAATATATATTTTCTATGTAATAAGAAATATCATCAGCTTATTATTGTAAATTAAAAAAGGAAATCTTTGAAAGCATTCTTTATTTTCCTTGATAACAAGTGAAGTCGTTATAATAATAATAACATCAAATTGTTTGTGATAATATTGATTATTATGTAATTAAAATAAACAAATTTTATCTGCAGATCAATTTTTGAAAGATTTCCTTCTTAAAACAATTTTCTCGGGTAAACGTTTTAACAAAGAAACAAGCAAGGTTTTGCTTATTGATTACAGTTTGAAAATTATAATAAGGTACCGAGAAAATTACATTTTTGTAAAGTATAGTTTTTTGTAATCTGTATAATTTGGGTTTGCGTGATTATGATGAGATATCATAGGTATTGAAATGTATGTATCTTGACCTCTAAGTTGATTATTGATGGGGAGGTTCGTAAGGTTAGTTATACAGTTATCAGAGGATTTACCCGTTCCAAGAAAATGAATGTTACTGTATTTTATTATAGACCTGTTAACGGCCGATAAAACATAGATGAAATGTTGGAACTGGACAACTATATTTTGATTAAGAAGCTTCCCGTCAATAATACCAGATATTTTGAGGAAATGAATTGTTGATCTACTTACATCAATTCTTTGGCCCAACGCAAACATTCTGATAGCTTCAATGCTTATCCTCGTCCTCTCGTCCTCCTTGTAAATGGGCAATCGAGGAAAGAGACGAGGTCTCTTCGCAGCGCTGACGCCCTACGGGAAACAGACACATTTTGTAAACAACGACTTCATTTTCAATTTGTTCAATTTAAAAAACAATGGGCAAATTATATAAAAAAATTAGAAGAATGAGTGAAGAAATCACCCAATGATATTTCTTCTTGCCCAGTTGAATATATTTACATGCATGGAACAGAAAAATAACAACTAATTGTTTCAACATTTACAGATAAGTCAATTCAGGTGGAACGAACTCATCGCCGGCATCTCAATTAGAGGGATAAATATTTATCATGTCGTTTAGTTGAGAAATGCTTCATTACAGAACAGCCCTTTCTTGAGATTTCTCTTCTTGCAATACACACGCTGTTTGTAAGTGACTTTCCGAGTCTACAACAGCGAGTCTTAGAAATGTGTAAAAAAGTCCGGTGGACGAAATTGAAAAATTACAGAAAACCATGCTTCAGAAGGGAAAACGACAAAAATATTATTTGTATTATGAGAAGTACCGCTTGAATGACAAAAGACTTTGTAAAAGAAAACACTGTTTTATTGGGCGTCTAGTTATGTAATGTAATTTATAGCCTGAAAACTAAAGACCTAGATTTATTTCTTTTCTACTTTTTGTCTCACTATAGAAATAAAACGTGGTTTGTCGACGCATCGGTACAGGAGAGGCTACTGGCTTTATAAATTTAAAATACTGCAACATCAATAATTTATTTTATGTAAGAGTTTTGTTATCCCAAGGCACTCT